TCCCCCTCCCCCTCCCCCTCTCATCAAGCCCAGAAATGGGAAGGGAGATGGAGAGAGAGAGAAAGCAAGAGAGATACAGGGGATAATCTCTGGGAGAGAGACTTAGGAAGAACCCTGACACCAGGTGAATATATTGTGTTGTACATCCCTGTTGTAAACGCCTGCTGTAAGTAACATCACTGTATATAGTAAAAAGCATAAAAGGCTCTACTGTCACGTTTTTCTGTGTCAATTGTCACCCTTGCAAAACAATATACCTCCAGTTCAAAAAAAAAGAACCCCATCACACTGTGACAGATAGACAGAGGGCAGCATTTCCTTTAGTGCTTCATCTCCATTCTTTCTGGCACCAAGCAAACCAAGAAACACGTTGATGGAATTAAAGTGTACAGCTTTAGACATGAACCATACATAAGGGAGGAAATCTGGAAGGAAATAGTAGACAGTATCTTCGGTAGGAGAAACCCTGTGTTATGTCATATTTGCACAGCAGCCATCCACAATTGTGGCAAATCAGCTGTTCAACAGAGAAAGGCAGAACATAATCAGTTCTTCTGCTTTCCCAAATAGTTGATTAGTATAGTTGCTGATTCTCTATCAGAGCTGGGTAAACAACCTACCAGATGGACTGAGAGAAGGAACTGCATGCATTGCACCTATTGGCCAATAATTCCTCATCCAGTTAGATACAGGTAGCCCTTGACGTACAACCACAATTGGGACTGGAACTTCCGTCGCTAAGCGATGTGGTCGTTAAGTAAGTCATGCCTGATTTCATGACCTTTTTTGCCATGGCTGTTAAGCAAATCACCATGGTCGTTAAGCGAATCTGGCTTCCCCCGTTGACTTTGCTTGTTGGAAGCCCCCTCGGGAAAGTCACAAATGGCAATCACGTGACGCCAGGATGCTGCAACCATCGTAAATATATGCCATTTGCCAAGTGCCTGAATTTTGATCACATGTCCACAAGGACACTGTGATGGTTGTAAATGCAAGGACCGATCTAAGTCACTTTTTTCAGCGCCATCATAACTTCGAACAGTCATTAAACAAATGGTTGTAAGTCAAGGACTACCTGTATGTGTTTGCATGCCATCAGCTCATGGTTAGACCAAGAAATCAATTCCACAGGCAGGCTAAAACTATTTTGATATGGGCTATAATAACAGAATCTTGCAAGTGTAATTGTTCAGTATCTCCTCCTCCTTTTTATATTCCAGTGAATTAGGGAGGTGTCTGTCTGACCCGCTTCCACATACTTTCTTCTTGGTTAGGACTTATGCTATCTTTTTCTCCTCATTGCTTTGGTAACAGATCTGGCTTATTTCTGTCAAGGTCAACTTCCTTACTTTCCATATCTTCCGCCTCCTTCTAATAGTTTAGTGAATTAGGGAGGCATCTGCCTGGGTTGCTTCCAAACATTATCTGGACATTTTGGACATGAAAAATGTTTTACCCCTTGTTCCCTTGGCAAAGGAGCTTGCATATTCTGTCAAGGTGATCTTCCTTACTTTCTACATATACCAGGATTATCTTTATTATTGTTGCTTATGATTACCAGAATTCATAATCATTATACTCAGTCTTTGAATAGTACCAATTATGCTGGGATGGGGAAGAGTAAGAATATTTGTTGAGGGGATATCTGTGATGCAGTTCACCGGAGCAAGTGCCACTTGAAGGAGGAGATGCAGTCAGCCATTTTAGCAATCACATCTAGATTGAAAGAGTGTTGAATCCAAGCAGACATTTTCCAGTAGATCAGGAGTGGTCATAAACCATGGGCTATATGCGGCCTGAAGACCTGTTTTGCAGGTCCCATATATTTCATGGGACCAGTTTGTTCAAACTTTAAAAGTGATGTGTTACGTTTGAAGTCTTAATGTACCTTTTTGTGTAAACCTATCCTGAATAAAAATAAAATTTAAAGACCAACATTTCAATCCTGTCCACTTGAGTGATATCACTGTGTCATTATCATGCCCCTGCAGATGACCCCCAAAAAAGTGTTCCTTTCCCCCAGGTGGAATTCTTGCCCACTCTTACCATTAAAAGGTGGGTAACAATGCTCAGACAGTTATGGAAATGGAATGGAACTATGAACAGACAACCTACAGAGTGTCATGGACAAGGAATAGACCAATTTTCTGTAATCTGATCCCTCCAAATGTATCAGATCACCACTTTCATAATTCCCAGTGGCTACCCTGGATAGGAATTACAGTTGTACTCCAGTACATTGGGAGTATCAAGTTAAGGAAGTTTTCTGCCTGTTCAAGAGTGACTAGGTGCTGCGAGAATACATCACAGTCTAATATTTCACTTCATCTAGTTTTCCATGGAAACACTTAGTCAACCAATGGGTATGCATTAAATAGGTTACCGAGTCTTATGGACCTCTTTAAACATCAATAGTAAGGTTGGAATTTTCACAATCACCTTATACAACTTTTGTACCTATAATTCAAAAGAAGAAGGCAGCAATGGATTTTCTAGCCTTGATAAAAATGCCTTGATCCTTGTGAATATTGAATACATACTTATAGAATATAAATTCTGTAAAACTAGCATTGTCATGGCATAATGTAGGCCCAGTTGAGCAGAGTCCCCTTTTGGTTGTTTTTATTATGGTGCTGGTCATCATTTTATATTCTGTATTTCATGTTCATATTTATATATTGTATATGTTTTAACACTATGTGGTTCTGTTTTAGTTTATGACTTGTGTTTTGTTGTTGTACACCACCCAGAGTATCATTGGTCTCATAAATTCAGTAATAAACAAAATTTTAAAAATTGAATTTTACAGCCTTTAGCATATGCAGTTGTCACTCCCAGATTTAACCATGTGCCTGCTAGAAATTTCAATAAGTAAGATGATTTTCTTCATATGAAATAGGATGGATACGCAATCATTTGACAAACTGTTTTTGTCCTTTTCAAAACAGCTAATATACCTGTGGATTATCCCAGCCAACTTGCCGATGTCATGGATTTTATTCAAACCACTTTAAAAAGACTGAAGAGGTCGCCAGATAAACCACTTTTCTCCAAACGGGCAAGAAACCGGCAAAATGCAGGAAGGAACAATAATAATTCCAGCAGCAGGAAAGGACGGAGAGGTCAAAGGCTCAAATCGCGGGACTGTGTCTTAAGTGAGATTCACTTAAATGTGACTGACTTGGGTTTGGGATACACTACCAAAGAAGAGTTGATTTTCCGATATTGTAGTGGTTCGTGCGAGTCTGCTGTAACCCTGTATGACCAAATTTTAAACAATTTAACCCAAAATAGAAAGTTGGTCAGTGACAAAATCAGGCCACAGCCTTGTTGCAGACCCATTGCTTATGATGATGACCTTTCATTTTTGGATGATGACCTATCAACTTATCATATACTGAGGAAACATTCCGCTAAAAAATGTGGGTGCGTTTGATGTCCTTGTGTGTTTGGACACTGCTATGATATTGCATTCCTGCTAAAATGGCAAAGAATGGGACCAGGGCTCCCGAGGAAAGAAAAGGTTGGCTTCAAATGAAGGAAGAGGACCAAGTATACAGGAGAACAACTGTAGTGGGAGCCTGGTTGATGGAAATCCAGCACAGGATAACTGGAGAAGATACAACTGTTGGAGCTTTTTGTTTCTTCAGGAAGGCAAATAGACATCAATGCTCAGGGGCTGAGATCCAGGATGAATGGAAATTACTTACACCATTGGTTTTGAAATGATCCACCACTGGCAAAACTTGGCTGAACAGGTGCTTATCAACACAAGCTCCCTTTAAAAACATCCTTCCTTCCTTCTTTGTTTTCTCCCCCAAAATGGAAGGAAAACTAATGATCACTGGCCTTAATCCCAATTGGAGGCATAATCTGGCATAATTTCATGTTAACTAGAGGGTGTTTTACGATCAGCTGCAGGAGCTCCCATGGCAGGGTGGGGAGAGTCAACAATGTCAAAATGGCAAGCATGATCAGGTGACTGAAGTCCCAACCCTTTTTAAACGTGTGTGATGCATGTTAAAACGGAACAATGCTTCAATTGCCCAGTCGTGCCATTATTTTGCTCTTGTTGACCCCTCCCCTCATAGACACCCCTGATCCAAACCTTCCCTAACCTTGCATCCTCCAATTGTATGGACTGGACTTCCAGAATTCTTGATAATGGCCATGCTGGCTGAAGAATTCTGGGAACTGAGATCCCAGGTTGGGGAAGGCCACTGTGAGCAATCCTGAGGAATTTATCTGGGATATTTGGGATGGAAGAGTGGAATATATAGAAATGCTACAATGGATAAAACACACTTGATGATTTGGAGAAATTATCCTAGCAGGGCTCTCGGTTCATACAGATTGCTGGCTAAATTTGTCCAGCTCGTGAATTGACAGTTCCCAAGAATTCACTCAGCACTTTCTTGATATTTGTTTATGGAAGCCTAGCAATTGTAGACCTTAGTCTTCCATTACTAATAATCTCTTTTAGAAACCCTTCACAGAAATCTAAACTTGAAATTCTGCCCTTGATTTACAGATCCCTTGGCCAAATTGTACATTCCAACATCACTCCTTTCTGTAGTGTAAAGATAACAACAAGCTTCTTTTCCTGTGCCTTATGAATAAGGTAGAATTATTATTCTACCCATACCAGTCAGTCAGAAAGTTGAATCGCAACAGAGTCCCCTTGGCACAAGACTTCAAGTGGAGCTACATATAAGTTGAAAGCAAGGACACATTTTTTATATATTGGGAAGAAGCCAAGCTTGTCTTTTAGTTAGCTAGCTAAATTCTAACCAAATCATTATCAAAAGGATGGATGATTTCTAAAATCTAACTCATTTAGAATTTAACTGGAAAAGGATTAATGTTTTTGGAGGTGGGGGAGAGAGAGAAGTTACCCTTTTCTGTTCCCCAAGAAAGCAGGCTGTGTTTTTAATCACCTGTCTAGGCAAAATGCCGTTTTAAAAATGTGGATTGTTTGTTGGTTTACAGAAGGACTAAGGTCACTTACTTAATGAACTACGTTTTTATTTGCAGTCATCGTGAGTGAACAGAGAGACTACTTGATGCAATGCATCCTGTTAAAGTCAAATCTAGAGAAAATATTTATTAAGATTTAAGTTATTATTATTATTATTTATTACAGTTCAGACATGAGTTTCAGTTTCTTTATTTATTAAAGGTTCTTTCTTCAAAAGAGGTGCCAAAGTTACAATGAGGCAGTGATGCTGGGATCAAGGTCTATAGTTTTTCTTTTTTTAAAGTATTAAGGATTAATAACAGGAATGCAAGCTGTTTTTTTTTTTAAATCACTTACTTTACCATTTGAACAAAAATCAGAGAAGCCCAGTTTGATAGTACTTCATCACACAGATTGCAACTATGTTTTATCATTGATCTTCTTTAACCAGTTGAAAGATTCCCTAACTTCTAACAATGCTGATGGGGAGGGTTGAGGCCACCGGAAATGTCATATTTTGTTACCTCTTTTGGGGGCAAAGCATCATAAAGACCAGTAAATACCAAGAACAAGAATATTCTAATATTTGAATTTTCTGTCAGATGTTGATGGATGTGACTTTGAGATGTTCCTTCCTTGACCTCATTCAGCATAGGAAAGTGTTTGCAGGTTGTCAAGTTAGTGATGGCCATCAAATGTAAGCTATTTGAAACAATAACTTAATGATAGTTTTCAAACAACTGAGATATATCCTTTTAGAAGACCATTACCTTTAATAAGAGGCAAATGGGTCAACAGGTGCAGACTTGTGTGCAGTAGCTGAACATCTGCAAGCACGCACACATTTTTAAATATGATGCTCTTTTCAATTATTTCAAGTACATTTCAGTGGAAACCTACATTCAAATTGTTGGATGCCCAAGCTTGCATCATTTAAAATAACCCCTAAAATAACAGCTATAAAAATATATATATGAGAAAGTCAGTAAGCGGTGAGGCAAACACAGTGCAGCAAAAGCTTAGTCGTCACTGGTCACGTAAACAAGAGAATTAAGCTTTTGTTTAATGCTGTCCCACTGAACAACATTTGAAAGTGCCCAGTTTGGCTCTATTCATTTTCAACAGTTTTGTACTTCAGATGGATCATAACGCTTCTTGGGCTGCTTATAGCATACTGTAAATCAAACCCTTCTCCTGAGAAGCCTTTTAAAAAGTCCTTGTATAATCTTGATCAAGAGCATGCTGTACCTGGAAAGATGTTCATAGCACTTGAACATTTCACACATTATGAAAAAGAGGTCACATCTCTGCAGTCTTTAGCAGATACAAGTTCTTAGTATTGTTCTGAGCTGCTAAAACACTGCTTAAATACACAGAGGAATTTAATAGATATTTCTAATAGGGGTCTCCTTGTTTTTAAAGAGAAGCATGGGGAACAAAATGGAAAATATGCAAATTTTAGAATTCTTACCATCATATGACAATTGTTCATAATCCAGATCATCTTGTCCCCTCTTTTGACTCTGTGACAATAGCTAAAAAGAGCTCTATTTCCCAGTCTTCTTACCTAATGTTCTTAAAGCAGAGGTACCAGGGAATGAACCTTACACATTTGAAGCCAGTTTGCTGCTGCTGCTACTACTACTGCCTATTACTACTGAGGTATAGGAACTTTCCCGAAAACTTAACAGTATATTCTTGAATTAAGCTTTCCATTCTTCCTGCCCCGCCCTTTCCTTTTCCATGCAATATCTCATAGGAAGACTACTTGTGGCTTCTTGGGACAGATAACTTTTTTATACACCATTTCCTATTTGAGCCATCTGCAATCTTAATTGCCAACCCCACTTTCATATCATTGGAATATGGGGGCAGAGGAGCCAAGCTCCAATATATACAATTTACCAATGTGAGATGTCTAGGAGCTATCAAGCACAATTTGTTCCACAATCTCCTCAAATTAAGTCTGCCATCTGGATGCAAACAGAGAAATTCCCCAAGTTCTACAGTGTTCAGAGGTCTTTTCCCAGAAACAAGAGAGTCAGCGCCTTTTAACCCTCTGGCAGAAATTCAACAGGTACTTCTTTGTTATAGCAGGTAGAGCATTTATTTACTGGAATTGCAACACCATGAAACACAGAAAACGATTCTAGAAAATCATTAATGTGGAATATGAAGAAACCCTGAGCATGTCATAAGATTAGGGGCCAAAGAGAAAAGAAAGTCACAATTTTCCCGTTCCGCCAAAAATTACAGAACAGATGTGGATTATCTAATAGTTAAAACATTAAATCTGCACTGAACATCAATTAATCCTGTAATCAAAGCTTCATGCAAATAGAGCCTTATTTTTTTCACCAGGAAGCAGGTACAGTCGAATTGATGTCCCTGTTTTCTATTCATTTGCCCACAGGGATGTCCTCAAAGTATTGCTTAAAAAGAAATGCAAGATGGTAGCCACAATGGTGGGTTCCAAATTCCGCCTGTTTTGTGTGTGTCATGTACACATAAAAAACAGGCAGAGCTTCAATAACACCATCATGAATACCATCAGGACTTTTTTGACTAAACTTGCAAACACGACTTTATATGTCTGATACTGCTAACGTTGCAAATGTACTACAGGAGTGGGACTACTGTTGATTAGTCTATAAATGGGAACCACTATAATTATAGTCCAAATACTTTAAGTGCAATTTCTATCTCTTTTCGACCCTCTATTTTTTATACTGCCGGTCTCCAACAAACATAAGGGACTATAATCCAGGGAACATGTATCATATCCCAGGCTGTAATTCTATGCGAATTAAAATTGAGGATAAGTTTTCTGAAGTCAATGGAACATACTCCCAAGTCCAATCACATTAGCTTTCCACTGAAATGAAATAGATTTAAATTCAATTAATTTCCTTCAAGTGGGTATATGAGAGTTATTTTAAAAATAATTCCAAGCACTTTTTTTTGTAAATGTCTATAAGTAATTTTGCCATGCTAGGCATACGCTTTATTCACACAGCATATGCATCCCAGGAATATCTATTCCAAGAACGGGATCTGAGTGGGATTTAAGCCAACAATTCAGTATATCTCTGTCATCAAGTATGTGTTCCATCCATTTGGGAAAAGGTTTCTAAAGCTTCCAGCAAAATATTTTGATTTTGTCCTAGGGATGTTGACCTTTCTGTGGATTACATTCTACGTGCCTGCCATTTGATTCCTAATGTTTGTCTTTAAGCCATTTCTTATGCTGCTGCTCCAGAAATTTGCGCAGTCTGTTCCTATCCATGTTCATTTAAAGATACGTCCTGCTGAATTCAGTGGCATTTATTCCCATTTAGAAGGAGAAGGAGAAGGAATGTAACCCTAATTTGAATTGTTTAAAAGGGGTGCACCTGCTTCAAAAATGATTCTGACAAGGGGCTCCAGACTTTTTACCCAAGCTCAGTAGCTCAACAGCTTTCTTTTCCTCAGACTTTGGCAGGACTCTAAAAAATGTCACTGCTTTAAGGAGTTGACTTATAATGTGATTCTTAAAGCTGCTGTAACTTTTCTTCAAGCTCAAATGGCATCCTGAAAAACTATGAGCCTCCTTACTGTCCAGCAGAGAAGTCCTGCACTCACACATGCAAAGTTCAAAGGACTTATCTGATATACTTTTTGAAGCAGGCATAACCCTATAAGCTAGCACAGAGGAAGGCAGTCTAGAACCATCGAGATATTTTGACCCTTGCCATCAGCCATGCTGGTGGAGACCAAGAGCCACTGAAGTCCAAACTGTTGAGATACAGTAGCACAGCCAGCTGCTACCCTATATTTCCACATTTGAATATAAACAGATCCTAACAACAAAAATGTCTATCTAGTCAGAAGTAAAACTGATTGCATTCAATAGGACTTGCTCCACAGGGCAACCTAAGAATCTTTCAACCAGAACCATTGTCACGTTGACTTCCAATTTTAATTTCCAGTGAACCTTTCATGTTTCCTGTAAGGCTAGCTTTCGTAGGGGGGATTTAAACATTTGTTTAATATTGCCACTGAAACAAAGGGAATTTGTTAATTTGACGGGATTTTATCCAAAACAAAAAAATGGTGAAGGAATAGTGATAGAATGGTCACATGATAGGACACAAGACTTCACAAAAGTTTGTCCTTTAATGAGTTTGCACAGTCTGAATCTTAACATGGAAGGCAATCCTTTTCCTGCAGGAATATTACCAACAGGCTACTTACACACCATTGGTCTGCTAAATCATGGTTGCTTTTGGCAAGTCAGGACCATGAGCAGTTTTACACCTTGTACTAAACCATAATGTACTGTTTTATTTTTGGCTTCTAGCCTCTGTACAAACCATGGTTTATGGTTTAGTGTAATGCATGTACCTCATACTGTTTCCTGTAGGATAAATCAGTAGGAGGCATAAATTTGGCTGGTAGGTGTTCTGAACAATTAGCCGTCATATTTAGGATATGTTGTAATTACATGACTGGTTTGTCCTTAATCAAATAACATGATACTGCGTGGTCATCAATGGGAAAACCTTATGGATTACAATAATAGCAATTATTTAGGACGATCTAAGAACATTGGATCCTATTCTCAAGTTTTTTCTGTATGCAGGAGTACATTTATCTTTTAAGAGAGACAAGCCTGCATAAAGGAAAGTGATACCCTCAAAATACTCATCCCACGCAACCGGAGGGCGGCCAGTTCCATCCCTCTGCATGAAGCATTCAGCACCTTTACAGGAATCAATCTGGCCTTTGCTGGGAGCCTCTTTCAGCATCCAATAGCTTTCCCTCAGCCTCTTTCCCCAGCCTGTCTCACCCTTTAATGGCAGCCTAATGCTAAAAAACCAAAAAGGTAAAGTTTGTGATTTTTGCCCACTCTGAAAATAAGAATTGAAAAAAAAAAATTAAAACAGGACGTTGTTGCTATTGGGGATTTTTACTTCACCTCCAATTGATGTCTCAGCCGTTTGTGTTAAGCAAAGTTCTCTACAGACTTTATTTTTGTACAATATGCATTTTATAAACTTTTTATGAAATAAAGCTTCTTTCTATTGTTATGAGGTAACCAACTATCCTTGTTGCACAACTTTAAGGATGGCTTTTGCCTCTGATTTTTGGAGCAGAATATCAAAGTCAGGCAAGGTTTTGGGATGCCTGCCTCAAAAAGAGTCAAGATGTCAGTTGCAATTGCATGAGTGAAGCTCCGCCCCTTTTCTCTGATGTTGCTCGTGCAGAGCTTGGATCACATGGTTGTGGGTGCCATCTTGAGTGTTTTACCTCTCTCCACAGATGTCCTGGTTCAATACCAGAATGCCTTATTGGAATCAGGTGTATATTAGCTGACGGACATGCTGCTCTGGGGCTCCTTTAGGTACTCTGAAGGATGCTTGTTTGTGGGTACTACTGAAGTACGGCTGGTTGATTTCTTAGGCAATGTAAGGCTGGCAGTGAACAATTTTGCCCCTCTGTCCAATAACTGGCCTTGAGTTTGCCATTTTACATACATATGGACAGACAGCTAGTTGAAGCACATGGGAAAGATGAATTCAGAAGCCAAAGAGCTCTCCACATCTCTGCTACATGAGAATCCTCGAGTAGCATCAACTCATCAAGATATTTTACCAATCACATGCAATTGACTGACTGCAGCAACATGTGTTTTTTAGAGAACCCTTTCCCTCCTTTTTCTCCTGCATTTGAATTTTCCGAAGGTGAAGACATCTAGGAAAGCCTTTTTTAAAAATGTTATATAAGCCCTACTGAACAATTTTTGCCCCAAACTGCCCCATCCAAATTAAACATGGAGCTCCTTTCAACATGGAGAGGACCACATTGTCATGGAGCTGTTAAAGATGACTTTGGCAGTCCTAATTCATATTGGTTTAATGAAAGCCCTCTGGCTGAATGGACAATATACCCCTTTTTATTTAGATGTCCATGAGTAGGTGGGGGAGAGTCAAAAGTGACAGGATGGCAGATAGAGTGTCATGATGAAAGCTTCAATCTTCATCACAATGTTCTGTCCACTAACACATTGATTTTGATCCTTTCCTACACCTATGTCTTTTCAGGTTCATTTTCTCTCTTACACTCTCTCATTAAATCTCAAGTTCTTTCTATCTTGGTCCTGAAGAAAGTTGACTAGTTTGCCAGCCCAATGCCCCATCTGTTATCATGCCAACTTTGACCTCCCCACCCCCACCTGACAGCTATTCCTTTTTGGACCTCTCTTGTTCTTTCACTTTCCTTTTTATATCTCTAGTTCCTTCCGTCTCATTCTTGAGGAAAGTTGTCAGTTTTGCCATGTGCTTCTAAAATTAAATCATCATCATCAAATTCCCACCTATGAGATGACTTTTGACTGGAGATTAAAAATGTGGCCTTTCATGGCCATATGTTCAGAATTGGTCAGAACAGCTAGAAAGACAAAATACATTTATACTGCAATGCCCCATCTTTTTCACACCCTATCCCAGTTACTATAGAGCCTAATTCCATCCTTCCACAGAAGCAGCCAAGTTAAAGCCTAGAGGGAAAGCTTAACAGCAAGAATGCAGGAGGCTGGGATGCACAAAAATGTCTGTGTTAGCAGTAGCCAGAGATCCAAACCATGATAGCACTGAAACATCCTGTTCAAATGATCCACATGCCTCCTGGGTTTGTGACATGATATATGCATTTGCTCTGGTTTTCATTTGGCAAGTTGTGTGTGTGACAGAGGGAGAAAGGAAAGGAACGAAAGGAGGGCTCTGGAACTCAAAGGCTGCCACGTCCGATGAGCTACATTCTCAGTTCTTCTCTCATATTCAGAGAAGGCTGACCATGCCTTCGAACATGTGCTACTTTCTAGGAAGAGCTAAAAGAAGAACTTGGAATGTTAGCCTGGGAAGCTGAAGATGCTGTGCTCAGATAGTGGGAGCGAGGCACCCAAGGTGTTGGGCAGGGAAGGAGGCCATTGACAGCTCTGAAGTAAATAGCAACAAGAAAAATAACTGGTCCCAAGTTTCACAGCACTAAGGCAGAAGTGGGAGGGTTAGTAGAGCGTTAAGCCCTTGGATATTATTCTTATGAAATCGGCCTTCATCAAGCACTACTTTGTTCTGTCGTCAAAAGATGGGGGTGAGGTCAATGCCAAACACATCTGCATTTGTCCTTAGCTAGGAATGACAGCAACCATCCTATTACATAAATAAGTCCTGATAAATGATTTCCAAGTTAACTTCAAGATTTGCAGGGTTTTTTTCTATTTTACCAGACTAGAGACAGATGGTAGTAATGTACCCGCCCTTCCTCCTCCTCCTCCTCCTCCTCCTCCTCACACTGGGTTAGATGCAGGTTTAGCTACATGCAACTGGGTTCGCGGTAATAGACTTCATCAAACTTTCATTCTCCATACACCCCTCCAGACATTCCAAATCCTACTCACAGGGTCAAAGATTAAATAGGGAGAGTTATAGTGCAGGGACAGGTAGAGAAGCCTCAACATTTAAGTTCCAATGTTATATGACCTCTAGGGCCAGTTTATTTAATCCTCCTTAATAGGATGGCTTCAGCAGGTGGCAGAACCTGGCTTATTTTTTCTAAGTGTAGCAGCTAAACACGGTGAGGTCTGGTTAGTATTTGGATGGGAGACCATCAGGAAATCTCAGGACTGTAGGCTAGACTGGAAAGTCAAAAAACACCCAGAAAAAAGCCATGAAAAATTACTCCTCTACTAACTACATAGAGGTTCCATGTAGGCACTGCAAATTGAGCAAAGGTGAAAAAAAATTTAAAAAAATGGAAACACACTTTTGATGGCCTTCAAAATGAGATCAGACTTGGATCCAAAGGGATTTTCACTTAATGAAGTTCACCAGCAAAAAATATGTATGTATTTTATCCTAAATATTCCCCTTCCCCAGCATCCAGTCCTTCCTGCTGAGCAATGGAATGGGATGATATGTTCCTTCAATGAACTTCCTCAAGGAAACCTTCTTAGAGTCCTGAATGACTTCTTTCCCAACAGACTTCTGGGTTCTATACCATCCCATCCAGGAAGGTGTTCACAACCTCCCGCTCAATTTTTTAAGGAGGTGAAGGTGGTTGCAAAAAGAAGGAAAACATTATGTGAATATTTCATGTTTTAAAAGCATCCTCAGGCTTGCTTTTTTAAAGGATCCAAGTGATCATTTCTCTTTTGTATTTCTATCTCTTTTACAAACATCCAACCCCAACATGTACTTTAATACTGCTCATCAAAACCTTTATATAATGTATAGTAACACCTGTCTTAAAAGTATAAATAGTTCCACTGGGATATCCCTGGGGCTCAGTCTAAGTTCATTTACTGCCTGCAATAGCATAAACCACAAGTACAGTTGTGGCATACCTAACACACCACTAATGTGTTGTTTTATAGCAAAGTCATTCTCTGGTGATCGTTCAATCATATGTTTTATTGCCAGGTCTTTTAAAATGGTCAAATGTCATTCCAGAGGAAATGGAGAATTGGCTTATTTATTTTCAATTCCCCATTCATGACTTGGTACCGATGATTTTGTTCCTCTTTCTGCACTCAGCATGAGCTTATATAGCTGCTTTTCCGAAAACTCTTTCTTGAAACGTATTTTATAGCTGGCAATGAACAGGCCAGGTTTGCACAGTGTATAGACGTTAGCCATCTAATATAAAGGAAAAACATGCATGCTGAAAATGCTTTGAAATGTTTGTGAGTGAAAGAGCATGCTCAAGGGGAGAGGAATTTTAAAAATATTTGCATGCACTGAAGTTGGTTTTTTCCAGGATTTTTTAAAATGAAACTGTTCCCGGAAAAAACATTGTCTATAATTTCCCTCCTGAGAGACATTAACTATCATAATATTGAGCGTGCATCTAGGTACCTACTGCAGTTTTGCAATGAACTGTCTTAAGTAATGGGGCTGACTTAGATGTCCACATGAATACAACATGCAATTGCATTCTGAAAACACTGGTGCGTTTCAGAAACACAAACAAGAAGAACCAAAATGAAAAAAGTCGGGGGGAAACCTGATTCAGAAACTTAGTAGAGCTTTTCCTATTCACTGTCAGCCCTTTGAGACAGTCCAGACAGGAAACCGAAACTATGTGTACTAACGCTATCTTTATTGTAAGGTTACAGCAGTGTTTCTCCCCAGCCAGCAGAATTCTGGGAGTTGAAGTCCACACAGCTTAAAGTGGCTGAGGTTGAAAAACACTGGGTTACAGTAACAGAATCTTGCAAGTCTGAAAGCCCTTCCCCACACCCCACCCTTGCCTTTATTTTCCAGAGAACTAGGGAGGGTCCCTTCTGAGATGATTTCTCCACCCCCATCCCTCCTTGGGACTCAGATTTCTCCTATCAGACTATTGTCTAGACTGAAGCTCTTCCAATTTAAAGATAAAATCCACTGATCTACCCTATGACATCCCTTTTCAACCTGCTGCCATCCACATGTGTAGAATGAGGTTCCCTAGAATTCCAAGTTAGCTCAGTGGTTGGTCAAGCTGCCTGGCAGGTTGTTTGCAGAGGGAGTCCAAAAAGTCAAGATGGCAGCTGCCATTACATGATGAAAGCCATGCCTCTTTCTTACATGTGTTATACCCTTTTTTGCCTCCCCACCTGGATGTTCCTGCTTACTGGAGTGTCTGGGATCTGTCATCCAACAGACTTGGAGGGCAGCAGATTGTCTTATAGACGTTCAACCAATCCTTGACAATTGGCTTGAGTGTTGCAGAAAATGATCACCCAGCTGAAATAGGTCAGATTGCAGAGTTTCAAACTGGATTCAGGTGGGAAACAAAGGAGAAGGAAGAGATGTTGAGTAGGGTGCAAAAACGAGGGAGAAAGTGTGCAGTGTTTATGCTAGAAGTACAGTCCTATGCCTGAATTCATTTCTTCTGCATAGACATGTGGAGGATTGTGCTGGAGATGGCCTGCTTACATTAGACTTGGCTGCAGTGAGGCATGTGGAAGCACTTTTTTAAAAGATTTTTTTTTTATCCCACCTGTATTATTTTTACAAATAACTCAAGG